TTACATATTTTTTTATCTTGCATATACATATATATGTAATAAAACTACAGTTTGATGACACAGCATGAATGATTTGATTATGAAAGCGGCACAAACTTGCATTAAAATTTTCGGTAAAACAGGACTTTTCCCATGATTCACTGTGAACACAGAATAACAAACCCGTGTAGATTTCTTCACTATTAGAACTGGCTTAAAAATGTAATGACAGCACTTTTAAGCACACCATATTCACTTGATGATACCTAACTTTTAAAAAGATGGATCTGCAGATACTATTTTACAGAAATCCAACTGAGGAATAAATGTTCTATTGAGGTTAGTAGCATGTAATCCAATCCTGTTGAGCTAAATAAAATGTAAAAGCACAAATTTGGAAGTACTGAGACATAAATGCGTAGAAATGCTGATTGCGAAGATACTTGATGCTTAGAGCATCCATCCATTTTGATGAAGAAGCAGTAGAGCCAGATTAAATTTCATATTTATTTAAATTCACATTGGTGGTCATAATTCACTTGGCACTCCAATTGTGCCTATTTCGAAAACATTTTAGATACTATAGCAATGGAAGCGAACATAGATGATAGCATAACCTTCTTAGCAGGATGAAAGCATAAGTGAGAATAAAAAGAGGGCATCACAATACTAATGCAGAGGAAGTCAACAAGGTACAGTTCATGTTAGTTTTGGTTTACAATTATTTGGATTGGGCAAGAGATATTTTCATCAAGGGTTATGTAAGATCGCATGATTAATTTGAATGCAGTTTAGATTTATAGTGCTATTTTTTAGAGAAAGAGACGAGTCCACAAATTAATTAGGAAAAAAAAAAGAGGTTATAGACAATTAAATTTAGAAGTTTGCTTTCATATTTTTTATCTTATACATATGTGGCGTTAGAGTTTTTTGCAGGGTGGAAGCTAGGGAAAGGAATGACGTAGTTGTTGTGCCGAGAATATTTATACTAAATATGATATACAAGTACAGATAATCTGTGATTGGTTAATTTTAGGTTGTTGTGTAACATGGAAAGATCTCGAATTTGAGAGAACGGATGAATCTAAAGGGGAGAACATAAAGTCTAGAATAGTTAATTTTGAAGTCACCAATTATTCTTAAAGCAGCTATCGTATTTTGTTACTCTTACATATATATATATATATATAATAAATAATAATAACAGAAATACAGTAATTATCTGGAGATAGTGGCACTTAAAATATATTTAGGTCTTTTGCTGTTAAAAAGAGTCCTGACATCATAGTCACAAATTTTAATTGCTTCATTATTTACAGTGCATTACTAATAGTGTTGTTTTGAGCCAGATAATAATAAAAGGTACAGAGCTGCATGATGTTTAGTTCTTCACAAACCCTATTACTTCTTACATATGATGGAGCATTTACAATCTGTAACAGAACAAGCCTTTTAGTGCAGTTTATAAGCCTTTTAGTTCTATGTGAATACATCCAGACAGGGCAGGTATAACATAGCAAGGGATGTAGAATGGATTTATAAATCAGTAGCTTGTTATCAATAGATATAATGCTATTTTGAGCAATGAAAGGGAATAGTTTAGCTTAACACATTCAAAACTTATCAATAATAGATGTAATGTGTGGGTCCATGTCAGCACATTTATGATGATCACCCTTAGCTAAGTGACTTGCTTTAGCCCAGAACTTATTAATTAAACTTGAAAGAAAAATATCTTAGGCTTTGCCAAGTAGCAACACATTGTTTTTAAATCACCGAGTTTGTTAATCAAAATTTTATTAATTTCGCATTAAACATAAAATAAGTAAAAAATCAAATTCGAAATTCTGGGTTCGAGATGTACATGTTCAAGTGAACCACAATGTGACACCAAAATTTGGTACCTCTAAATGGTGACGATTTTCCAGAATGCCAGAGAAATAAATGTACATATATGTAATTAAATGGAAATTGTTGAAGAAAGATGACGTGTTAAAGACGTATAACGTAGAAGATGCAAAAGTTGTTGAATTAATATTCCTTTTTTTTATTTTAGTTGATAAACATATTCATTATATGTCAATAGAAATAAAATTAGGGACGCAGGGCCTGATTCTTAAAGAACTTTTTACATTTTTGGTATAACACATCCTTGCAGCAAAAAAGTAGGTGATGTGTTCAAGATGAAATCTTAGTTCAGCCTGATTCAGTTTCGATTCCGAAATCTTTTGACTGGCTATCTAATAACTCTCTAAAATTGTTATTGGCTCTTTGAATTTTAGTTTACGAAACCATATGTATCACCAGCGTTGTTATGTAAAAGTCATATGATGGCTATCAATTTTGAAATGACACAATTTAGAGGAATTTATTATAGACAAATATTATTTTTAGAAAAGAAAGAACCTATATTTATTGTAAATTAATGTTAGAATTCTGTTTCATATATAATTATCATTATAATTATTATGTTGCTTCATATATTTTGTCTTAACATACATACACATATTCTTCATTATTTAAGGACAGACGTAACATATAATTCAGACTAAAAGGAAAATAAGAAAACATTTCAGTAAAATAAATTTTTATTTAAAATCCAAATATTTACTGAACTAAAAGAAGAAAAATAATTTATCCCATAATTTAATGGTGACAAGAGATTAAGCATTTCTTTTTACAAAATTCATCTACAGTTTTATATCATAAAATAATAAAAAGTGTACTTGCTTAAATCTAATAATCCAATTGTACAGTCAAAAGTATAAGTCCCTATCTAAATTTATTAAGGGCACCCTATGCAAATTCAGGAAAAGAAAAGGAAGGGGGAAAAAAAGAGAGAGAGAGAGAAAATCCTCCCTTTCTTTTTTTTGGAGGAGGGTGTCCTAAGAAGGGAGCTTGCATCTGATCAACCCCAAGTATTGATAGAGTTTTAATTCAAAATCTATGACAAAATAAGCTTGCTGTTTTGCCTAATTTTAAATATCTGGATTCATTTGATTTATTTTGTTTTATGTGTATTGTCATAATGATATTTTTTATTCGTTTATTATTTAATGTATTTTATGTAAAAGTTTCAGCAAGTATTTTTGTTTAATCGAATTAATGCCTAAGTTTGTATTTGTAATAGTATTAATATTGTGTATTATGTTATAGATCTCTCAATTGATCAGCATTTAAATTGAAAACATGGCTTATTTATAAACCAAGATATACATCAAAATTCTCTTGAAGGGCTTTTGCAACAATTTTCTTTGCCAAACTGGAAACATCTGGCAATTTCTAGGTAGTCTAGTGATTTTCTAGAAGTTTCTGGAAACATTTTCAAGATTCTAGAAGTGATTTCCTCCAAAGCTTCCAGAATGATGGGCAACTCTAAAAAATACATTTATAGTTCAATTCAGAGATTTAGCTCAGCCAGTAGTTCAGAGCAAATTTGTTCAATTATAATGCTAATGAGCTTAGTCTTTGAGTGTTATTGGTGACAGAGCTATTTATTGCTGCTTACTCTGCTATAAGGTGATACTTATTTTAGTAAAGTATCCATACCTTCCTGTTTGTCAGGCATAATTATTAGAGAAACTCATGAACTTATAGTCTGTAATAATATTAATAGAAATATTAAAACAAATTACAAGCTTTTCAAGCTTTCATTTTAAGGAGGAAAAAAATTAAATCATTGAAATTAATATTTTTAGAATAGGAAATACAGGCTACATAGTTTTCAATAATAATGGTAGCTTATAAATCCACCGATGGTTTAGAGTTCCTCACTCTTATTCTGCTAAAGTAAATGTCGAGGAATCCTGTAAACTGGGTTCAGCGACTTATTGCTTAGTTCAAATAACAGGAATTGTAAACTCAAGAAGGGTTAACTACTCTTTATTTCACTCAAAATATGATGAACAGTCGGTCCCTTGCTTCAGGATTACAACAAAGCCTTCACTTGGACTTAAAGTTAAAATAAGAAATAAGAACTAACTATATCTAACTAAGAGATTTTAGCTGAAGCTAACACAAATCTAACATAGTTAGCCTTTAATGTTAACTAGCCGGCAAATATCAAAAAGCATGTAATATACGGCCAAGCTTCTAGAGAGAATTAGCCTGAGGGCAAGCACGTGCAACTCAGGATTCCTAGCTTTCTCTACTGAAGTAAGTTGAACCTTCCTTAAATACTACTACTTACTCATTTGCATTCAACATGATTCTAAGGTAGGTGGAGCATGATTGGTAGGAAGTTGTAAGTTGAAACAAGATATGATAGGAAAACACAATTAAATTAAAATAACTGTTATAAAATTAAAATATTTCTTACATACCTTTTATTTAATATTAACAGAAAATCAATTAATAATTAATAGTTATCTTTCAATGGTGTTATATTAGAATGAGAAAGATTTAGTTTTAATTACATAACAAATATATAGACTGATGAATTTTGTTTGGCAGCACTCAGAATAACAGAATTTAAAAAATGCTTCAGTATTAAAAGATTTAATTAAAGTATTTCTTAGACTGATTAATATGCAAAATAAATATTATTGAGATAATTAAGACATATCTAGCTTAACAACTCTGGTTTCAAGTGCAAAGATATAAAGATTTTAATTAAAATGGAGAGAACGGTTTTTGCTTTTGAAACTAATAAAGATACAAATTACAAATAGTAATTCTGAATAAAAAATAAATGATAAATAAATAATTTTTGCATCTTACAATGAATATAAGATTATTCATATATAAATTAAACACATGAATGGGAAATGAAATCAAAATTATACAATTTTGGTACATTCATGTCAGCTCAAAATTCAAAAATAAAAAAGGAAAGATCCTTTAACTGCCTATTATAATAATAAATACTTATGAAATATCTGCATATAAAACAAATCTAATTTCGAACTTCCAGTTCCAGTCACATAAAAAATGGAGCTAAATAGGAATATACGTTTAGCATATGATGAAAACAGCAAATTAAAAACAAAAATTAATGCTAAAAATTTGGCTAAAATTATTACCTAGGAAAGTGAATTGAAATAATGTTTTTTATTTCAGGTTTGTCTTTAGTGGAAAGGACTTTACTCAATACTTGCTGTTGCAGTATGCTAAATACTGATATTAGTAGAGTTCGACCGAAAACTGATGCAGTTTCATAGCGTTGAAAACTATCACAGAAAGCAGGAACATGACAGAAATAAAGCCACCTAAAAATTACATATATGCATATAAAACACATAAAATATATCAAAAATAATAGTGCTATTAAAATAAAAACATAAATTATATTTCTTGAAACTGTTTAAGTATATACAAAAGAGAAGACTTCCAGTTTTCTCACAAATGCAGGATTCTGTGTCGCTGATTAATTACAAAATACAGAATTAAATTACATAAAATTTAGATGTTTTTATAAAATTGCAGCCCCATAAAGTAAGATTTACATTAATTTCTGCTCAGCAACTATTATAAAAAGAACACTTAGAAGGAAGGGACTTTAATTTTTATTCAGCAATTTCAGAATAAGATACACTTACTTTTACCATCTGATTTTCTAAACACTTTTTCCCCCAGAAGGGGGAATATTCATTTATTTTTTATGAATAAATATCATACTCAAATGCTTACACATACTCATATATATAAATATATTTCAGGGGGAAAATATTTTACAATTTTCAAAATAAAAGAGAGATAAGTATGTAACACTTAGTGGAGTTAACATTATTTCATTAGAACTTTTTTTTACTTCCCAATATATTTTAAGAATAATCATACAGAATTTGGAAAAGTTTATTAAATGTATTAAGGGCACTCTTACTTTCTCAATAGACAAAAGAGATTTTAAAAGTTTTAAAAAATAAAATTTTATTTTATGCCTTTACAATAACTTTGTGCATATTAAGCAAATAAATTTTAAAAGCTAGTGTTCATTCTCATTTCATTTTTGAATGTAAAATGGTATAAACTAAAAAATATCAATAAAAAATAAATAAAAAGATATGAACAGAGACCACAGCAATTTGTATGTTACCACAAAATTTCACCATCATCATTCAATTTTACTTTAAATACAAGATGATAGGAAGAATTAGGCTTAGAAATTTTGAAACTGATACACTATAGGCAATTATATAATATACTTATGGCACAAAATAGTATTTGTAATACTTGTTGCAAAATAACATTAAGGAATATAGGTAAAATACCTTTTATATGATTGACTTTGTTTTACTGATTAGCAACCATTTTCATAATGATGAGAAGATAAATAAATTATCTTATATATCAACATAGCCACATGATCTTTATTTATATAAATTTCACTGTTAGCTAAAAATTATCTTTCATCAACTCAGCAGACAACTGGAACAAAATTGAATTATAAGTTATAAATATTCTCTTCTTTTGATACATATTTCCCAAATTAAAAAAAAAATGGATGAGAATTTGATTTATTTCAGAGAGAAATAGGTGGTCTTTGTTATAGGGGTACCCTCGTATCTGCAAGTACCACGTAACTGCAGATACAGGAATAGCAACTTACTGTGGATACCTGAAACAGCAGATAATAGCAAAGAGTGTATAAAACAAGATATCTGTGTGACATGCATACTTATGATAATGTTTAATTGGTAAGTTAGGAGTATAAAACATTCCTAAATCAAATAATGTAATTAAAAGTATTCTCAACATAACAATATACCATATTTACTCATGTACTTTTCCTCTTTTTTACAAATTTTATTATATGAAAATCAAGGGGGGAAATTATGTGAATAATTTAATTTTGAAGGAAGGAAAATAACAAATAAAATGTATTTCATTGATAAACTATGGATAGATATGACTGATAAACTATTAGAAGCTATGAAACTATTATTTACTTCACATTCAGTAAGAATACATAGTAATAATAACATTACAATATCTAGCAAGATATCTTCCTTTCTTCTTCCTTGTATCTTGAAATCTTGTCCACTTTTATTACCCACTGTTATTCTCTGGGCCTCGAATCATTTAATGCTGACGGAACTGCTAACTGTATCATCTGCTACAGCCTGCAAGGCCATCGCCATCATCACTGATGTCATTGCCTTCATCATCATTCAGTTTGTCTTTCCATGTGCAATGATGTTCATCAAAAGTATTACACAGTCCTATTTTCTTGAAACTTTTCCCTATTTTTGCTTCATCAATCAGAGCCCATGCATGCGAAATCCACCAGCAAATCAATTAGTACGATAAAAATACTTTACATGACTGTTACATGAAGGAATCCATTTTAAAATTTAAGGGAGATTTCTTTATAAAAGCCTTGTGGAAGGCAAAATTATTTGAATGGTTAAAAGATTTTCAGAACTTTGTACTAAAAAGCTATGGGGGTGATATGTGAGTTAATAAAGAATTATATATTGTGATAGTAAAAAGAAGTAATATAATGTATATTGTACATACAGTATATCCCTTTCATACCCATGAAAGTAAGGCAGTTTGATATTTTAACTTAACATGGCAAATGTAGGACTGTGAATAGTGAAGAAATGCAGCTCTTATAATACTATATGGCATAACATACTGTTTCAAATGATGGCAAAAATAAGAACTATTCATTTTCCTAAGAGAAGTAAGATACTAGTAGTTTCTGAGCACTTATAGCATCACTAGTCTTTGTTTTGAAGACCTTATTACGGTCAACATAACTTAAAAGAGTAAGACAGTTGTGATAACATGTTACTAAGGTGAATGTTGGAAGCAAGAGTAGAAGAAAATTTAAAAGAAGTATGGATATGAAAAACAAAGGTAAGTGAAAGATCATTTAACTACAAATAGCCAAGATTTCCTTCCAATATATTTAAGCCTATCAAACTAGTGCAATAGTTCAGACTTCAGACTTTGAGGGGTTTCCTGTAATCTGAAACTACATGTACAAAAAATTTCCATATGCCATATTTAATTACATTGCCTCTAAACAATCAGACAGCTGCATACAAAGACAGTATTAAGTGTATCCAAATTGCTATACTTTGGATATATTACAATCTGTTGTCAGTTCACTTGTAATTAAGACACAATAACACGCCGAATAAATACTAATTCAGAAGTCAAACAACAAAAATCAGCGTTAATTTACAAAATTTTCACAGGACTAGTTTCGATGGTTTTTACCGAACCATCATCTTCAGCTGCAAAAAAACCCGCAAATGAACAAGATAGGAAATAATGTTTAGATAAGATAAGAAAGCCTGGACAAAATAAGCAAGTGGGCGCCATCTGTTGGCGAAACCAGAACTAAAACATAATTTCTCTAAAAGCCGAAGGCAAATTTGGATTGGAACTAGGATCGTTACCTAGAACAGAAAGATTTGTATGAATGTGAAATGCCTCTAGAAAATCCAGTTCTCCAATGGAAGCTGTTTTTTGAATAATTTTGGCAGCGGAAAAATTGAAAGTGTGATTTTCGGACCAACAATGTTGAGCAACAGAAGACTTTTGTGTTTCCTTTTTTCTAACATATGCCTCATGTTCCTTGACGCGAAATTTTAAGGCTCTCTTAGTTTGGCCAATGTAAATTAAAACCGCACTGGTAAGGAATCCTATAAATACCCCAGGAATTCATATCCGGAATGGGGTCCTTGAGTATAGAAGTTGGAATTTTATTGATGGGAGAGTAAACAACCCGAAAGTTAAATTTCTGCAAAATATGTGCAACTTTATAGCTAATTGATGGAAAGAAGGGAATGACAACAGAATTTTTATAATCTCCTAAAATAAGAGTGTGGCTTTTAGTGTGTTGAGATGAGAATTTTTTAACTGCTTGATTAATAATGTTGGGTGAAAAGCCCCTGTCAATAGCTATTGCTTTTAAATAATTTAGTTCTTCATCAAGGGCTAGTTTGTGTCTTAATTATAGAAGCCCCAAACAGGCTTACATTTTACTTTCTTTTTTGCACGTGGTGTGGCCACCATTTTGTGATTGTAGGAGTTTCGGTGAGTACATTTTTGCAATTTTCAAGTTATGTTTATGTTTTGTACATTTGGATATTGTGCTTTGCTTGTCTGATTTCATGCATTTTGCATACAAACATTTTGTTTTCTATTCATTTCAGTGAGGGATTTTTCTGCTATTTTGTGTGTACTTTATTATTGCTCAGTTAATTTAGTTTGATTTTCTGCATTGTTTATCATGCCTTCATCCGTTAATCGTTTCACTAAATTACGCCTGAAACGGCAAAAATTCCTGAATCATCTTGACTTTTTACTTAATGTAAATGTAAAAAATTGATCCCCAATTTTATTCAAATCAAATCAAATCTATCAAAACCTTCGAGTCGCGTTTCAAGAATTCTGTTAAATTGCAAACTTTGCCTTACTTCGGTCCGTGATAAGGGATACACGTCAACAATTGTCCAAATTGAACATGAACTCTATAAGCTTCATCTGGAACTCGCTAAAACATATCCAAAATTCACTGCCCTTGACACAAAGTCTTGGTCTAGAACGGAGAATGCAGTTAACCGTCATAAAAACCCCTTGCAGTTAAATTCGAAAAACTTCTTTTACAGTCTTCCAGTCCAAGTAGTTCAAAAAATCTTCCCATTGTAAACATCAAGCCAATAGTTAATATTTCTAATGTTAGTCTTCAGAAGAACAAGAGAGAATTCTAAAATATAATTTTAACTTCTCAAAACCTGTAAACCCTCGATTCCAAAGATTTTGGCTCCTATCGAAAAAGCTTTCAAGTTCAGTAAAGTTTCAGATTTACAGAAAGAAATGATTAGGCATCTTATTGCTCATAATGTGAAATTCAATAATAAAAACCTTTGAAACCAAATCTAACTGCGAGATAAAGAGCTACAATGCGCGAGATTCATTCTAACCCGGATATTGTCATTTCAAAGGCCGACAAAGGTGGCCAGATAGTTGTCATGGATAAGAACACTTACATCGATGGTGTCACTAAACTCTTAAACGAAGGACCATATAATCCGATCCCTAAAGATCCTTCACCTTCGGACTTATCCAAAATAAAAACTGCGATCAAATCTTCGCAAATCATTTCAAGCAACTTAAAACATTCGCTTATCCCATCTGTTGCGAATTGTGCCAGATTATATGCTCTTCCCAAAATTCATAAAGTGGTATTCCTTTCCGCTTTATTTGTATCAAATTTTAGGTACTGCCTCGTATCCATTAGCTAATATTT